AGTAGCAGAAGTAGCAGTAGCAGTAGTAGTAGTAGTAGTGGTGGTGGTGGTGGTGGTGGTAGTAGTAGTGGTGGCGTGGTGGCGGCTTTTGTCCGGTGGGAGTCTATAGTGCGGTCTTTTTGCTTCATTTGCAAAAGCTTGAGCAAACTCTTTGATGCGTTGTTTTGCCTGCGGATGCTTTTTTTTGCTTCATTTCCTTTCTACTGCACTGTTGTACTAATACTGCATGTGGTGCTATTACTGTACTACTGTACAGTACCAGGCCTCAGACTTGATCGATTGCGGAGGGGAGTGTATGTTGACAAAAAAACTGATTTTAGTCTTGGTAGTTATCTTGCAGTGATCGGGGCTTGGCTCCGAGCTTTTGGCGATCCCCAAACTCCGCCTAACAGCTCTAGGTACCCCTGAACCCTCGTACTGTACTACTACTGTACGGCTACTGTACTGCTGCTGTAGCTATTGTGCGACTACTGTACTACTGTACTATTATACAACTGTACTACTACTGTACTACTACTGTACTATTGGAGTACTACCGTAATGCTACTGTATTACTACTGTACTACTGCACAGCACCAAGTTTCAGACTTGGTCGATTGTGGGGGGGAGTGTAGGTTGGAGGAAAAGTCTTCAAAATGAATGGTTTGTGGTCTTGGTCGGGGCTTGCTTGCGAGTGTTGTGAATCCCCAAACCCCGCCATCCAGACATTCGCGGAGAACCGCAGACCCTTTGTACCCAAGCCCCCGCACACCCCTCGGACCCCCAAAACCCTTCTAACGTTTACTGGTATTACATAGTGTAATACCACACAACATAATGACGAGAAACGAAAACCTAGAAGAAATGTACAGTACATGTACATATGTAATTACACACGTGCCTGCACCTGTGCTCGTGCGCGCTTTTAAATAAATATCTGCTGCTGCGTATAAACACGCAAGAGTTATGTAAAGAAAGAAAGAAATTAACACACGCAAACGCGCAGATATATATATATATATATATTATATGTATATATACATATATACATATATATATGTGTGTGTGTGTGTGTGCGTGTGTGTGTGTGTATGTGTATATACATACATATATATATATATGTATGTATGTGTGTGTGTGTATCTCTCTCTCTCTCTCTGCGGTTGGCCGGTGGGTCCTCGCGTGCGTGTGGATTTGAGAGCATGAGGGTAGCTCGGAATTCGGGCGTGTATGTTTCACACACCGAAGCAGATACCAACATATAAATGCATCTGCAGACACATGTACGTATGTATGCTTGTCCATCATGTTTTCTGTTTTTGCGAATGTCGACGCACAGAACAACTATCCAGAGTGCACAGACACAGGTGGGCATGCATCTCAGAACTCTAAGCCTCTGGGGCAATCACATATAATTAGCTCTGTCAAGATTGCTTCATCATGCTGTTGTGGCTTCATCCTTGGGCCAGTCCTCCGATGCCCGTGGTGCCGGTTCCGGCGCAGGCTCTGACACACCTCCGTGTCCACACCTTGGGCTGAACTTGGGGCAGTTGATTTAACTCGCAACTAGCACGTGACGAAAATGTTAAACGGCCACTTCTAGTTGAGTAGCTTGAATACTTGCTGCGGTACGAAAAACAGAGCTACTGATGCTGAGCACAGCACTAGATGGCAGTTAGGACTTTACTCATTCACTTTTGCGCTTTCAATTTCAATCAGCATGCGGGAAGAAAGGTGGCAGGCAGACAGGAGCTGACAGTGTGAGCAGCATGTAATGGCAGCTCGAGTACGAAGAGCAGTGGCGATTGACAGTCGTCATGTGGCGACCCCAAACATGTGATGACGGCCAATAAATCTTAGGTTGAACCCATGGGCCCCTAACATGGGGCCTTAGGGGATTCTAGGGTCCCTTAAGGGATATTAGGGTCCCAGGGTTAAGGGCCCATACTAGGGGCCCATGGGTTCTACCTTAGAACAAACAAAGATGCCAAGGACTGGCTCGATGAGGACTATCATGAAGCAACTTTAGCTCAGGGATGGCATTTGGCGTCTGGCGCTTTAGCACCTACATGTGAAGCTGAACGGCGATCGTCCGAAGACCGAAACTGCATCGGACCTGGCAACGAAAACCGGACCTGGCAACCAAAACGGGCCCTGGGAGACAAAAATGGGAACAGAAATTGTGAGCATCCTGTGCACGCGTCGGCACGTCTCCTAGTCCTAGTACCTCTAAATCCTAAACTGTTTGAGCTCCGCGCCCAAAACCACAAGTGCCATTTTTTTGCGGTAAACCGTTTTGCAAGCATCCGGGATTGTGCGCTCGCCGAATCATGGCATTCAGAAATTTCATAAATATAAGACAACACTAGCAATAAAACATGCACATGGCAATTCATCAGGCAGAGAGACATATTCTATAAACCAAACCCCACGCCTCTCTGAGTTTCTTCTCGACACCACAAGCAGCAAAGCCTCGCCACCGAGACAGGGGCCCGGGCACACGCCACTTACGGAGGAATTCCAGCCTCAGCTGGGGGGGCGAGTGGGCACGTAATATAGGGGCCTCAACCATTAGAAAAGGCTTTGCAAGACTTTCTAGGGTATTATACGAGTTTTAGAAGGTTTAAGATAGGGTCTTGAAAATCAGACGACGGTTTTGGGATACTTTTTGGTGTAGTCAAACAGGGACCATAAAGTTGAAAGAGATAGTGTGGCTAAAGTCTGTGCTAAGACTTCGGGGCTTGGCTCTTGTACTCTCACACTTGGAATGTTGGACCAGCTGGGAAATTTGGGCACAGGACTGTAGCGATATCTGATATCATCTTCCCACCCCGATCATAAAGTGGCCACGAACTTACGAGTTGTCAAGGGGGCGTTCATCACCAGTGATGGGAGAGCTTGGGCATTTCAGGCTTGGGGTCTACAGCTTCGGATTTCGGTTCCAGCAAATCAGAAAGCCCCTCACCATCATCGCCATCATCATCACCATGCTGCAGGACATCCTGAAACATCTCTTCATTGAGACCTGGTCCTGAAGCTACGACGATCCTCAAACCCGCACCATAGCAAGACATTTTGCGCAAGGACTGATATCCCGAGCCTGTCAGCCCTGTCCCCCGAGCCCAGACTCTAGAGAGGCTGAGCTGTCTTACAAAGCTGATAGCTGCTGATAGCTTGCCGAAGAGGTACACCTCTGCCTCTTCCTCGTCCGACACCCTTTGTAGGGCCTAGGCGATGACGCTGGGAGGGATTCTGGATACCGGTCAGGCTGCCGGAGCTAGACCACGGCTACATGCCGGGTAGTGGCGGATGTAGTTTGGGGCACCACAGTCTGACAGCAGCGTGCGGCCCGTCATTGACGACAGACTGTTCTGTGCTGACACAAGTTATAGATGCTGCCGTGCTATTTGCAGTTGCAACCACACTGAACTATATAAGCTGACAGCTATACCGGCTTTTCGTGCTTTAGGGCATCATAGTGGGGGCTTCGACTAGGATTCGGGCGTCGGTTTGCGGGCTACCGAGGGCTGTCTGACGAGCATGAGACTCAGCTGATGCGCGATCTGGCATGGCAAGACTATCTGAAGCCCACGGTCAATGACACATCACCCCCAGATGTACGCTCCGCGACCCCCACCTTTGCTTGTTCCTCGTAATAGATCCGCAGAGCGCAGTCATCGCAGCACCTGCCAGACAAGAGACGAGTCAGGTTTTCAGAATTGCGACAGATCGCTCTGTGTGCAGCGCTCTTGTATTTCGAAGCGAAAGAACTCCATCTGCATGTGAGCCCTTATCCATTGCTCGCAGTTGCCGACCTCAGAGATGACTGCTGGATCCAGAAATACGCAGAACAATCAAGCGCCAACGACCACCATCACCAGGAAAGTCCACACGGTACATGAGCATAGACGCTCGCACACATGAGATTAACGAAAGTCACCTGTCACAACCTGTCACAAGTCATGACGCCATTCCTGCTGCTGGTGTTGTCGCTGTTCGTGAGAATTACGACGAAGGACGTTGACGAAAAGAATACAACAGCCGTGCCACTTCTAGCAACACGAAACTCAACGGGGCTCACACCACCAGCAGACACACTGACTGCTAGAAACAAACAACCACCGTTGAGTTCTCTGCCACATTGTCGACGCAGCGCTGCGCGCAATACTGACATCGTACATACATGGGTAGTTGTCAAAATGATGGTCCCTTTTGGGGTACCCTAAATAATAGGTGCCGTATTATAATAAGGACCCAAAAAGGGACCATAATTTTGACAACCACCCACATGCATTGCTCATGGCTGTGTTGTGACATGGCCTGGAGGCGGATGCATCGACCGGGGGCGCACCATCACAAGAAGCAAGATTCTTCTGGGCCTGTGTCCGTCAACCCAGGCCGGCTCCCCTTTGGGCCGCGCCCACCTGAGGCACCGACTTGGCATGTTGTACCGCTTTGGGGCTGCCCCTAATTATGCCCATTGCGTCACTCTAATCTAGACTCTAGACTCGAAAGGATGCGTGAACGAGCAATGTGCGGAACAGTCCCACGTCAGATTGGTCATGGTCAGAGGAATCTCTTGGCAATCGTGCTTCGAAGCCCCGGAAACTTGCAACGCCGTGGACACCAAGACTTCACTTGCAACTACCAGAGCCCAGCTGCATCCCACACTCCAGGCAGACGAAGGGTTCGTCTTCGTCGAAATCCTGTGTAGCTGAGAAGTGGCACTCGGAAGAAAGCCGGTTTTTCAAGAATCGTTTTGCATCACGTGACGGGCATGCCATGCTCCGAAACGCCGAGGCACACCCTCACCTTCGGACAGTCCAAGTTCAGACTTGGATCGTGCTGAGTTAGCTGCCATCCTGAACCCGTCGCATCCCAAAGTCCTAAGCACCTCGACATCTGAACCCAAGACATCTCGACGGCCTCCACATCCCTGCGCTGTCAAGCCCTAACCACTTGACTCCGAGCCCCAACACTGTCTACTACTGCATACTATCTCTGAACGATGGCAAGGAACCGTAAAGCATTATTATTTTCAGCCTTTTCTCTATATTGAACACCTTGTTGCCTCCGGGCTCATTGCTGCAGCCCTTGTGCAGCGGGCTTGCCTCGTCGCCCGGAAGCTCCCTCTGGCCTCAACCCTGGTAGATAGTACCCTTACAGAATCCTTTTTCACACACACCTTATACAAAAGGGTTATATACGCACACACACCCAGAAACAAGTGTCAACCGCAAAGACAGTGCGATTACAAGGGATGCCGAGGCCAGAAACCTAGCAGTTGCGATGGACAGTCTCCTACTAGCCCCAAAGAAACCTCAGTATATATAGAAAAAAAAGGTATATAGGAGATACAGAGATATAGAGGCTTAGATGTGTAGATACGTAGATGTAGTGTTTGAACTGCCCTTCGTACAGCAGACTCCTGGCCGCTCATCGCAAACTCGTCGTCTGCGCCGCTCTCGTCGGCCTTCAGCGGGACTGGATGTCAACTCGCTTATTGATCGGGTTTCGGGTTTCGGTTTTCGCAACTCGCACATGAGTCTTCGAAGGTGTCTTCGAGTAGAGGTCTAGGGGACTGTAAGGGGACCCCTTTACTCTCCCCTGCTCCGGCCTCACACTGTTTCTGGACCATCAAAGCAAGGGCTTCGTGGTGCATCTCCTGCACTCATGTCTCGCTGAAGCATCTTCGCTGCCCTCGTGTTCATTATCGGCTTTGGCTAGACACCCGGAAGCAAACCTTTACCTGCAGTCGTGCAGCAATCTCACAACGGCCGATGTCACCCATAGAACAGACATCGTGCTGGTGAAGTGCGGGCATGTCTACAGCCGAATCAACGCCAAGACTGCCGGCAACTGACAAAGACAATGACAACCTTTGTCGAATCTGGGACCGAAGAGACATCATCGGGCTAGCATTCTGGACGTGCTGAGGGCATGATCCGGCCTTCATGCATGCAGGTCCTGGACGGGCCCGCAGCACGGACATTCCCATGGTGGTGGAACAGGTGGTCGGGAGTGCACATCAGGATCAGCGGGTGTGGATGCGCCGGGGCACCATCGTCTGGATTCTGTCGATGCAGTGGTACGGGATCATGGCCTTTTGTCTGCTGGGACTGAATACACACTCGCGGGATACTTGTGCATCGCGGATCTCGGCATCTCGGAGAAGCCACCGGTGGGACAAAGATAACCCAGCGAGTGCCGCCAATGTGGTCGGTGCGTGAGCGCCGCATGCAGATCATGCAGGAAGCAAGAAGAACACAAAAAGACAAGACGGAACTGTGCAACAGCTTCTCCTTCACCAGTTGCCCGAGCAATTCTTGGCGATACTGTCGATCTGAGGCCATGAGGTCCACGAAGGAGAACATGCCCGAGTGGCCTTCCAGAGGTCCAAGGACTTCCACAGATTCAAAAACGAAACCTAACTCTCAAAAACGGACTCAGACCTGGAACTGCCGTCAAATCAGGGGGAAAACACAACAACCAAAGCCCGGAGAACACCATAAGCAGCAACTGGAAGCTACAGACAGGATCCACGCCACCTTCATCTGCAACCACTAGGGGCTGTCGCCTGGGCGAATGATGAAATCGTACCCAAACCCTGCAAGGGGCCTGAGATAAAGTCGGAGTAGCAGGAGTCGAAGAACTGCAGACGCCTCTTCAAGGCCAGAGCATTTATCTTTGTCGACGCTCCGGAGTGGGAGCAGCACTGAAGTCTCTGAGGATGTCTAGGGCCTTGCAGAGCGTTCGTTCAGTTTCCTGGCTACATGCTGGTTGCTGTCCTTCCTAAGCGAACTCTAAACCACATATTATGAAGCCCCGGACATCTGAGCAACCAGAACCGCAGCCGCAGCCGACCCGCCTCCAGCACTCTGCTTCCAGCTCAGGAGTGGGCAGTTGCTCCTGGGAAGTGGTGCACTTTTTAAGGGACACTGGGGAGCTGCTACAGGGTTTTTTTTGCTTCCTACGTGCTACAGGGTTTAGGGTTTAGGGTTTAGGGTTTAGGGTTGGGGTGTAGGGTTTAGGGTTTAGGGTTTCGGCTCTCACACTCGGACAATCCAGGCGAGGCATACGGTGGTTTAGGGTTTAGGGTTTAGGGTTTAGTGTTGGGGTTTAGGTCTATGGACCAAAGATGGCAGCTACCTTAGGCTCACGGGTTGTGATCGGAGGCTCCTGGAGGCAAGGATGAGCCGATAGCACTGGACAGGGAACCGATGGTAAGCCGCTTCCCAATCACGACTCCCTGTATCTTCTTTTTTGGGACGAATGGACGACATACTGTTTCCATGGAATGTGCCTCATGAGGTCAGTGTACGCGTACAGATAGAAGGCTTCATAATAACGCCCAGAAATGCTTGCTGACGTACACCAGGACAGGACATGAAAGGAACAAACACTGAAGTCCAGCCGCCACGAAAGCCTCCAGCCTGCCCCGGTGTTTCGTTTAGCCGGACTTGGCCCGATCTGCAGACCAGCAGCCCAAATAGCCAAGAGCTTCAGGCGCTGCAGCAGAGTCTCCCGCCGCACGCCTGGCTCCTGAGATCAGCCGACGAAGGTGCGCCTCTGGAGGCCTTAAGGACTTAGGGATACCTCTAAGGATAGGGGATACGACGGTCTCTTGCAGAAACCTGAACAGCTGTCTGGGGAAGTTGAAGAATGACCGCAGTAACAATATCGCAGCCCGGAGAAGTTGAGACACCTGGACCGTTTGTGTGAAAATGGCGAAATGCACGCAAGAGCAAGAGGCTTGAAAAGAAGTCTGCAGTCTGCGGCTCTCAGATCGCAAGTTGTCTGAACCGCCTGTCTCAACCAAGGCCGGACGTCAAAGTCCCAGGAGCAAAAATCTGCAACCCTCCCGGACACCCGGTAGCCTTAAGCTTCTTCCCTCCACCAGAAGAAGTGGAACAGAAAAGCAAGTCGAAAAGCATGAATTTGCTGCACGACGCCTCCGGGGGAAGTTTGAGCCTCTAATTAGGATAACTACAAGATCCGTGCCCCCAGGAGCAAATTTTGAGTCCAGGATCGATTGGCAGTCCACTCTGCCGGGCGAGGGTGTTGATCTCGTCCCACGTAAGCTCCTCCCAGCGAAGGGGCTTCGAGATGAATGAAAGCACAACATACATACATACATACATACATACATACATACATACGTACATACATACATGACATGACA